CTCAAGGCTAGTGCTCTTCTGCTTGAGTCACAGCACCACATCCTGTTTAAAACATAGACTTTGGCTACAGAGAATGCAGTTCAGATAGCAAAATGGGACTTATGTACAACAATCTCTAAAAATCGGTACATGCTTACTACCAAGTACACTGAGTAAACTTTTAAGTGCCACAGGCATCCAAATGTTTGGATCTTAAAAGGAGAAGGACAGGGTTGAGAAAGGTATGTTTGAAAGCTCTGAAATCAGAATGATTGTAGTTGAGTCTAGTAAGAGATAACATTGGAAGAGTGTAGAGATTGTAAATTCCTTGAGGTCAAAGGCCAGGTCTTGTTTTTGTTTCCTTCATGATCCTAAAACTTTGTGAATAAAAAACAGAATTGAATTTTATAAGGTTGTAGGAGATTTTGAAAGTGAAAACTAAAGAGCTGGACTTGATCCTCTGGTCCTTTGGGAGTCACTAAAGGATTATGAATAAAGGAGTGTTGTGTACAAAGTAGTGATTGAGATTTGTTGAAATCAGTTCTCTGTTCTTGTCATTGCACTAGCCATCAAATCTGGATCTGCAATTAATGATAGCTTTTATGAATTTGAGCTTTAAAATTTCAGCTGTCTGCAAGAAGATTTTAACACTTCATTACTTATCTTCTACTTTACCCAACATACTCTGAGCAAACCTATGCTTCTTATTTTCATTATTGAGAGATAACACTCCCCTCCAGTGCTTTAGCTAGAAACAAAAGACTTCCCTTGAATTCTTCTGTTTTTTATCCCACCAAGACTTGTCAACAGTTACCGGCTATCCAGTCTTCCGCTACTGTTCATACAGATCTCCTTGCACGCTTTACATTCCTGTTGCCTCCCTACTTTAGTTTGTTATTAAATTGTTGTATTAATTGTTGTAATAACTTTGAATTAAAGTTCCCAAGGAGATGGAAAAGGTGGGGTCCAGATGTCAGGTGGAAGGATAGACCTAGATTTTGTGAAAGGTCATCTCTGCCAATGAAGGTAAAATAAAGAAAAATTAGAGAAAATATTGGTAGCTGCATGAGGGAGACTTGTAGTAGTCTTAATAAAGTTGAGAACAAGTATTACATCTTGGTAATTAAAGACTTCTAATTCAGCAACTCGTAAGGAATTAATAAATCATTGTTGCCTGAAGTGTTAAATCCAAGAATTTCCTATTGGACAGCTGAGCTTTTGTTGGAGATGATAAGGAACATCAAAATTAATTTTGCCTTTGACTGTTTGCTCTTACAGAAGGGTACTTTCTGAGGCTTGTATCTTTAGTATGAGGTAGAAATATCTTGGCTGGTCCTGGAATTTATGTGTAAGAAGCCAAATCTAGAACTTTTAAAATAGTTTGAAAGTCGAGCTGTTGGGAATATTCTTAAAGTTTGGAGTATTCTTAAAGTCTTAAGTTTGTTTCTTGGGTTCCTTAGTAAATTTTCTCATAAAATATTAAGAGATTGAACTTTAGACATTGCAATGTTCCTTTTCCTGATGTTTAAATCAGGGAAAGACTTTCATGAAATTGATTGACTTGTCAACATAGGATCCTAAAATAGAGTGTCCTCTACCTCTTAGGGGCAAAGGAAGTCTATAAAACCCTTTTTTTTTGGAGGAGCTTATGGCTTAGCTCTAAGCTGGCCAACTAGTCTTACCAAGGGCTTCTAATCAGGTAGTCTTTATTAATAACTATATTCAGAAAAGTACTTCACTCTTTTTCCTCCTGAACTGAAAGTCAGTTACTTAGCTTTTGGAAGTAACTGGTAAGGCCAGTTTTCCCTAGAAGGACTTGTTAGATGAAGGGAATAACTTAATAGTAGTAAAACTGAAAAGACTTATATCTTGAGGTCTAAAAGAAATGAGGTAGTAGGCTAAAACCAAATGCATGTACTTCTTAAAAAATATTGACTAGTTTAAAAGAAAATCTGTACACTTTCCCATCTATTTGACCTATTACTGCTAACTTGTACAATTTAAGAAATTCTAAGAAAAATAAACAAAACCTGTATCTTTAGAGTAAGAACTTTTTGAAAGTAGAATTAGACTGTAAGTGCCAAAAAAAATATGAATGACAAAGAGAACTTAAGTTGTCAAAAAAGGCAGCCAGAATAATTTTTCTCAAAATACAAATCTGATGAAGTCATTCCACTATTTAAAGTCTTTCAATGCTTCCTCTTGCCTATAGGATATACTTTGGGTTTTTTATTCAGCTTGTTTTAAAAAGTCATGATTTTGCCCATTGCTATTTTATCTAGTTTTAAGCCTCATTGCTACCTAAAAAGCATCCTATCATTCAATCATCCCTGCTTCTGAGTAGTTTTATGAGCATAATTTCTTTCTTGTCTTCAAGAGTTTGCATTTCATATAGCGTAATATAGCAGTTCTCTTTTCTTTCTAGTTAACTTCTAGTCTTTTTGTTAGTTTTGTGGTCCTTGAGATTGAATCTCAAGACCTTGCTCCTATTAGACAAGTGATCTACCACTGAGCTTCATTCTTTACCCTCCCATCCTCTTTTTGTGCTGGCTCTGGTGCTTGAACTCAGGACCTGAACACTTTCCTTGAGCTTTTTTGCTAGTTCTCTATCACCTCAGCCACACCTCTATTTCTGTTTATTTGGTGGGTAATTGGACATGCATTTCTTTTTTTTTTTTTTTGTCAGTCATGGGTCTGAACTCTGGGCCTGGGTGCTGTCCCCCAGCTCTTCAGCTCAAGGCTAGCGCTCTACCACTTGAGCTACAGCGCCACTTCCGGCTTTTTCTGCTTATGTGGTGCTGAGGAATTGAACCCAGGGCTTCATGCATGCAAGACAAGCACTCTACCACTGAGCCACCTTCCCAGCCCCTGGACATGCATTTCTCATGGACTTTCTTGCTTCAGGTTTCAAACTGATCCTCAGATCTCAACCTCCTAAGTAGCTAGAATTATAGGTATGAGCCACTAGCCCTTGGCCCTAGTCATTTTTAATATATATATTTGTCAGTTGTGGGGCTTGAACTCAGGGCTTGGGCACTATTCCTCAGCTCTTTCAGCTCAAAGTGAGCACTCTACCATTTTAGCCACAGTGCCACTGGCCCTAGTCATTTTTTAAAAAGTGAGTTACCAGGTGGCTCAGTGGTAGAGTGCTTGCCTTACATGCATGAGGCCCTTGGTTCAATTCCTCAGTACCACATAAGCAGAAAACGCTGGAAGTGGCACTGTGGCTCAAGTGGTAGAGCACTAGCCTTGAGCTGAAGAGCTGAGAGACAGCACCCAGGCCCAGAGTTCACACCCCACGACCAATTAAAAAAAACAAACATTTTTTTTTTTTAAAAAGTAAATTACTCCTCTAAGAAACTTACTACCCCCATGCTTTCTTTCTTTCTTTCTTTTGTTTTTTGTCCCATCATGAGGCTTGAACCCTGGGCCTGGGCGCTGTCCCTCAGCTCTTCAGCTCAAGGCTAGCACTCTACCACCTGAGCCACAGCGCCACTTCTGGTTTTCTAGTGGTTTATTGGAGATAAGAGTCTCACGGACTTTCCTGCCCGGGCTGGCTTTGAACTGAGATCCTCAGATCTCAGCCTCCTGAGTAGCTAGGATTACAGGCTTGAGCCACTGGTGCCTGACTCCCATGCTTTCTTTCCCTACTCAGGTAGGCTAAAATACTTCTGTATGAGAATTGTGCTTCAAGATGCAGTGAAATTACTTTCCTTCTTTGCTTACTATTATCATCTGTTTTGAAGATAGGCGTATGACATTGATATTTTTGTTACTAACACCTAGTTTAGTAAACATTTTATCTGAATAAATAAATGAATAAACAACATCAATTTTTAAGGAAGAAGTAGTATTTGGAGGAGAAACATCATGCTAGGAAGGAAAAATAAATAGTATGATGTTAGTGATTTAAATGAAACTATAGTTAGAGGTTATTATGATCCAGTCTGCACATGACATGAAATGAAAAGTGTTAAACAGTGGTTGGTGGTAACTCAGATTTGGATGTTAAGTTCGTATTGAACGTAGCAATGGCAGATTAGTTAGGTAAAACCCTGGGATAAGTGAGGGCAGATTTGAATTCCCCATATTTATATAGCATCAACTTCACTAATTTTAGCTGCCTTATGAATAGTTTACAAAAAGAATGAGTAAAGATCAAGAAGATAAGGTGATATGAGATATTAATGAATATGATTGCTAAATAAATATGTCTGGAGAAGGAATGAAGCTCTGGTGTGGCATTTTTCCCCTTCCTCCACCCTTCTTCCCTTTTGCTCTCCACCTTCCCCTCTTCTTTTCTGTACCAGTACTAAGGTTTAAACTCAAGACCTATCCCTTAGCTTGTTCGCTCAAGGTTGGTATTCTACCTCTTGATCCACAGCTTTAAGTTTCATCTTTTTGGTGGTTAATTGGAGATGAGTCTCACAGACTTTTCTGCCTAGGTAGGTTGGCTTTAAACAACTATCTTCAGATCACTGTTTTGTGGAATAGCTTAGATTATAGGCATGAGCCACTGGCACATGGTTATAACATGATTTTTGAGGCATGTGATTCTTTTTAATTTGTAGTGACAATATTGTGGGTTTTGTTTTGTTTTGGTTGGTTCTGGGGCTTGAACTCTGGGCCTGGGCACTGTGCCTCAGTTCTTCAGCTTGAGGCTAGTGCTCTACCACTTGAGCCACAGTGCCACTTCCAGTTTTCTGGTGGTTTGTTGAAGATAAGAGTTTCATGGACTTTCCTTCCCAGGCTGGCTTTGAACTGTGATCCTCAGATCTTAGCCTTCTGAGTAGCTAGGGCAATAGGAATGAGCCACCAGCACCTGGTGACAATATTGTTATAACCAAAGAGAAAATTTGGATAGGACAAGCTTTTCTAACAAGAAGTCATTGTCCTGTGTTCTGTATGTAAAGTCAACCCTTTAAAGAGATTCTAAAGAAAGGAGTGTATATAAGGCAGAGGTTTGGAAACTTGTTGCTTGCATAGCACTAAGTGAAATGCCTTCTCTGTTTCCTTTGCAGATGAGCGGGACCGGGTTCAGAAGAAAACGTTTACCAAATGGGTCAACAAGCACTTGATGAAGGTAGAATTCCTTCATATGCTTCTCTTCCTGCTCTTTCCCCTTCTTGGAGACAAGTTCAAATTGCTTTCTATGGGCATGTCTGTAAGGATTTGCATGTGACTTACTCTTTCCCTCCTTCCCTTCCTGTATAGAGGAAACAGTATTAACATGCTACTATCTCAGAAAGACTCAGGTTGGGGATAAAAGATGATACCTGGGATTCTAAGAACACAGTTCTTAGTTTAAAAAAATATATAAATCATTTCTTTTTCTTTTCCATTTCCTTTTCTATTTCCTTTTCCTTCCTGTCCTTCTCCCCTTCCTTCCTTCCTTTAGTGCCCTTCCCCCCTTTTTTCTCCTTCCCCTCCTCTTCCTCTTCCTCTTCCCTCTGTGGGAAATAGAGTTGTTGGATATCAGACCAAGGTCACAAAAATGCAAGAACCCACTTGCAAAACAAACACTAAAAAGGACTAGGGATAAGATTTAGGTGTTGCCAAAAAGTAAAATAAAGTACACAAATCTTTTTTGGCAGGGAGGTAGGGAGGAAGCAGTAATGAGATTTTTTTTTCCCCCTGGACCTGAGGCTCAAACTTTGGGCTTGGGCACTGTCTCTGAGCTCCTTTTTGTTCAAGGTTAGTGTTCTACCACTTGAGCTACAGTGCTACTTCCAGCTTTTTTTTTTTCTTCTGTGATTAATTGGAGATAAGAGTCTCTTTGGCTTTCCTGAGTAGGCTGACTTCAAACTGAGATCCTCAGATCTCAGCTTCCTGAGTAGCTAGGATTATAGACATGAGCCAGCAGTGCCTGGCTTGTACTGAGATTTTTGAACTCAGAGCCTTATGCTTATTAGGCAGATGCTGTACTACTGAGCCACTTCTTCAACCCTTTTTTGATCTGGTTATTTTTGAGGTAGGGTCTTGCTTCCTAATCTGGTACTACCTGGACCATGAACCACTTATTTTTTAGACTTCTTTCATATGATGACAGTTGTATGCCATCAGTTCTTATGAACTTTTCTGCCTGGGCTGGCCTGGAACCATGATCCTTCCTAGCCTTCCAAATAGCTAGAATTACTGGCATAAGCCACTGGTGCTTGGCCAAGTGCATACATTTTTTTTTTTTTTTGGTCGGTCATGGGGCCTGAACTCTGGGCCTGGGCACTGTCCCTCAGCTCTTCAGCTCAAGGCTGGTGCTCTACTACTTGAGCCACAGCACTACTTCTGTCTTTTTCTACTTATGTGGTGCTGAGGAATCGAACCCAGGGCCTTAAGCATTCAAGGCAAGCACTCTACCACTGAGCCACCTTCCCAGCCCCAACTATATACATTTTAAGTCTTCAGGTAATGGGTTTTTATCTAAAATTTTCCACCATGTAATTCAAGTGACACAGACTATTTCCAGAACAGCTAGTATTGAGGTAAAAAAAAAAAAAATATATATATATATATATATATATATTTTGGGTCTGGTCGTGGGGCCTGAACTCTGGACCTGGGCGCTGTCCCTCAGCTCTTCAGCTCAAGGCTAGCGCTCTACCACTTGAGCCACAGCACCACTTCCAGCTTTTTTCTTTTTGCTTATGTGGTGCTGAGGAATCGAACTCAGGGCCTCAGGCATGCAAGGCAAGTGCTCTACCACTGATCCACCTTCCCAGCCCCTTGAGGTAAATTTGTGTTGTTAAAATCAAATCAGTGGTTGGAGCTGGTGGCTCACACCTGTAATCCTAGCTTTCAAGAAGCTAAAATCATAGCCGGGGGCTGGTGGCTCACATTTGTAATCCTAGCTACTCAGGAGACTGAGATCTGAGGATCACAGTTCAAAGCCAGCCCATGCAGGAAAGTTCGTGAGATTCTTATCTCCAGTAAATCACCAGAAAACAGGAAGTGGCATTGTGGCTCAAGTGGTAGAGTGCTCACCTTGAGCTGAAGAGCTCAGGTATAGCACCCAGGCCCAGAGTTCAAACCCCACTACCTACAATTAAAAAAAAGCTAAAATCTGAGGATTGCAGTTCAAAGCCAGCCTGAGAAGGAAAGTTTATGAGACTATTATGTTCAATTAATGACTAAACAGCCAGAAGTAGAGCTGTAGAGTGGTAAACTTGAGCAAATAAAGCACAGGGGACAGTGCCCAGGCCCTGAGTTCAAGCCCCAGGACTGGCTTGCACGCACACACAAATCTAGGCAGAGACATGTTACCAACAGTATTGTCTACTGTGTGACAGATTAGCATGAAGTTTATGAGTTCTAGTAATTCCTGCTGCTCTAGGAAAAGCCCATGTTCTTGATACATTCTGTCTCAAACAGGATCTCTCTATATATCCCAGACCAACTTCAAACTTACAGTCCTATTGCCTCTGCTTCCTTAGTGCTAGGATTATAGGCATGTACTACCATGCCCTGCTACATCAGTGATTTCCTAATTGCCACCTTCACTTGTAAAATTTATCTTCCTCTTAACTTAATTTCTTTGTAACATTTAACATTTTTGTTTATGCCTTGAAATCCTTTCTTCTCCTTCCCCTTGCCTCCCTTTCCCCCTCTTCTCTTCTTGCCAGTCCTGGGGCCAAAACTCTGGGTCCTCCCTTCCCCTCCTCTCTCTCCTCACTTTCCCACCCCTCCTCTCCCTTTGTTGGTCCTGGGGCTTAAACTCTGGGCCTTGGTGCTGTCCCTGGGCTCCTTTTGCTCAAGGCCAGACTCTACTACTTGAGCTACAATGCCACTTCTAGCATTTTCTGTGGTTAATTAGAGATAAGAGTCTCAGACTTTCCTTTACTGGTTGGCTTTGAACTGCAATCCTCAGATCTCAGCCTCCAGCATAGTAAATAGGATTATAGGCCTGAGCCACCAGCACCAGTGGAGTTTTTTTTTTTTTTCCCATAAGTAGTTGTCCATCTATAGTTCAGGAAACTTTAACCCAGGAGATGGTCATATAAATCACACATGGCTCCTTAGGGCTACTTAGGACTAAGGACTGCAAGTTAGGGTGATTTTCAAAGTGTAAGACCTGGATACAGAAAAGGTAGAGCCTTTTCTTCATTCTTACCCAAAACAATGATGCGTGTTTCTCAGGTATCATTGACATATTCATCTGATGTTCTCAGGAATATCCTTTGTTTGACATGTGTAAATATTTCTACTTGTGTACCTAGTTTTCCCAGTTTGGTGGACACCTTGATTTAGTACTTCTGGTAATCTGTCCCTTATTACCAAGTCAGGTACCAGTGGATTGCTTTCCACCCCAGAGAGAGAGCTTGGATCTGTCTTTGCTATCACCTCTGCTATGTTTTGTGCTTTTTCATTTCTTGCCTTGACCACCATAATGGTTTTCTAACGAAGTGTTCAGTAATAACAACTACAACAATACTGATTGTAATAGCATACTGAGGGCTTCCTACAAATGATTTTATTTTATTTTATTTTTTTTTGTCGGTCATGGGGCTTGAACTCTGGGCCTGGGCACTGTCCCTCAGCTTTTCAGCTCAAGGCGAGCGCTCTACCACTTGAGCTACAGCGCCACTTCTGGTTTTCTGGTGGTTTATTGGAGATAGGAGTCTCACAGTCTCTCCTGCCCCGGCTGGTTTTGAACCGCGATCCTCAGATCTCAGCCTCCTGAGTAGCTAGGATTACAGGCGTGAGCCACCAGCACCCCGGCCTACAAATGATTTTATACCAAATCTTTTACATGGATTATTTGGTTTAATCCTTCAGTGACTTTGTAAGATCTATTAATAGCTTCATTTTATCAGTGAATAAGTGAGGTCTAGGAAGGGTGTGTAACATATTCAAGGCTATGCTGCTAGAAAGAGGCAGAATGCAGCTTTAGAATTCAGGCAATTTGAACTTCCTAACACATGCTCTTAACCTGTAATACTGGCTCTGGTTTCTGCTTGCCTTTCTAGGCTCATAGTGCCAAATTCCCCTCATACCTTAAGTTCTGGCTAAATTATGTGGCATGCTAGTTTATGGCTCTGTATCTTTGTTCTGCTGTTCTCTCTGCTTGTGGTCTTGCCCCAAAGTTTGCTCTACCTAAATAGTGTCAACTTAATATCTTTTCACTAAATTCTTTAGTAACCTTCCCATGTGGCATCAACTACCCTTTCTTTTGTGCCCCCTGATATTCCTTTGTATTTATATAGCATTTACTTATGTAGCATCTTTGTGCTAGACTGTAACTTGAGTGCAGATATTGTATCTTATTTTTATAGTGTCATGGCCAAGAAGGATGGAAGAGAGGCAGGGAAAACAAACTATAAATTCCTTCAGTGGTAACCATTGCCTGTAGTTGATAGATAATTTTCATGATGCAAAGCCTTGCAATCTGGTAACAACTAACCTGTCCAATGTTATTTCCAGATTCTCCTGTGTAACCTGTGCCATAGCCATACTAGACAACTCACTGCTTTCTATATCCTGTATACCTTTACACTCTATTTCTCTCTCTCTCTCTCTCTCACACACACACACACACACACTCTCTCTCTCTCTCTCTCTCACACACACTCTCTCACATCACAGCTCTTTCAGGATGAGCCTCACTATAACTTTCCTGAGTTCCATTATGCTAACTAAACCAATTTCTTTTTTCTTTCAAGTCCTAGGGCTTGAACTCAGGGCCAGGGCACTGTTCCTGAGCTTCTTTTGTTCAAGGTTAGCACTCTACCTCTTGTGCCACAGTGCCACTTCTGGCTTTTTCTGTTTATGTGGTACTGAGGAATTGAACCCAGGGCTTCTTACATACTAGGTGAGCACTCTACCACTAAGCTACTTTCCCAGCTCCTAAACCAATTTTTTTCCATCTCTATTCTACATAACTTTGAACTGATGCCTATGTTCATGTATCATTCTCCTCTGAAAATTGCTCATAGAGGGTTTGGACAGTATTAAACTACTTTTCCTGTCAAATACTGCATAGGGATATGAGAAGTATCCAATAAATATTTGTTACCTTGAGTAAACAACGTGTGTGTGTGTATGTGTGTGTCTGTGTGCCTGTGTGTGTCTGTGTGTCTGTGTGTATTTTTT